GGTGATGTATCAGATGGGCGTAGCCTCTGGCCATCTGGTGAAGTGGTCAATCATCATCAGATTGTAGGTGTAGCCGTCGTCCATGGGTAGGGGTCCCACTATGTCGATGTGGACGTGTTGGAACCTCTCATCTGGAATAGAGAAAGTCTGGATTGGAGATTTATTGTGCCTGTGGATCTTGGTCCTCTGGCGTTTGATGCACGAGCGACACCACTGCCGAACATCTTAGTTGATGGCGGGCCAGACGACCTTGCTGCGGATGAGGTGCTGGTGGTAGGCATCGAAGAATCGCCGACGGAGGGAAGGCGGGATGTATGGGCGGGGGTAGCCGAGGGTGACGTCACAGAGAAGGTCATCGCGGGAGTTCGGGATTCTGATTCTCTCAAGGTTAAAGAAGGTCTTCTCAATGAGAGGAGTCGTGGACGCGTCCTGCCGTTGCTCTCTGCTGACCAGATGATAATCCACTGCATCGTCGGTGAGGGTCGCTGTGGATATGTTAACCCTCGACAGAGCATCGGCGGCCGCGGTGTCCGCGCCCCGATTGTGTCGGATGTCCGTCGTGAACTGTAAGATGTAGTCCAGGTGGCGCTCCTTGCGAGGGAATTGGCGGCGGGTCCTCGAATGTAGGGCGACGGTGAGGAGTATATGGTCCGTCAGGATGTGGAATTTCTTTGCCTCCACACACCTGGGCACACCTGAGGACGAACCTATTGTAGAAGTTGAACATGCCCAGGAATTTCCACAGTTGTTTCTCAGTTGCTGGCCTGGGGAACTTCCTTATAGCGGTGACCTTCTCCTGCGGTGATGTCTTGGGGGGTGACAGTGTCCGAGGAGAAAGAGAGGGAAGCAACACCGAACTGGCATTTTCCCGGGTTGATAACGACGCCTGCTTCTTGCAGTCTGCCGAAGAGGGCCCAGAGATGGCAGGCGTGGTCTGCTTCTGAGGTGCTGGTGACGAGGATGTCGATGTAAGCGAAGACGCCCTCAAGGCCGCGAGTCACGTTGTTAATGAAGCTTTGGAAGGTCTGAGTGGCATTCCAGAGACCGAAAGGCATCCTGAGGAATTCAAAGAGGCCGAAAGGCGTGATTACAACTGTCTTGGGGATGTTTTCTTCAGTGGTCGGGATCTGGTGGTATGCCTGGGGTATTTGTTGGGGGCGGTGATCATGTTGAGGTGCCGGTAATCACTGCACGGGCGCCAGTCGCCATCCTTCTTCACCAGATGCAGAGGGGCTGCCCATTGGCTGCTGAAAGGTCGGATGATCCCCAACTGCATCATGTGGTCGAACTCTGCCCTGGTACTGCGACATCTGTCAGGGGCGAAGGGGTGGCAGCAAGAGTGGGTGGCCCTAGATTGTTGGACAACGGCCTTACCTTGGAGGTCATCCATGAAGCTGTAGTACGCTTTGAAGTCGGTGCTGATGATGGGTTGGGGGACATCGGCGATGAGGAATATCCAAGGGAACCACTGGTTGGGCTCGCCTTTCAGCGCGAGGGTCTTCGAATGCTTGGCATAGACGTTGATGGGCGTCATATTGGCAACTTCTAATGTGCAGGAAGAGGGAGAGCGCTTATCCTTGTGGGAGGCTGGGAGGAGGCTGACCTCGGCCCCTGTATCGACGAGGAAGCGCAGGGAGGAGGTGGCATCCCTGATGTATAGTAGATGCCTTCAAGGTTCACTGCAGGCAGGCGCGTTCGGTTTCGGTGGTAGCCTCCAATCTCTGTGCTGCGGCGGAGTGTAGTGGCGAAACTGTCGTCCTGACGTGGGAGAGCGCTCGAAGTTCCGGTCACTGTGTGGCGGTGAAGGGGTGCGGGAGTGAGGCTGGGTGTGTGAACTTTCCCTTGTAAACAATCTTCACACGGCCTCAGATAGTGAGGTGACCTAGGCTGCTAGGAATTCCATCGAACAACACCAGCAGGATTTGTTGAATATGGATATCAGCAGGCAGCCGTTTGAGGAAGGTTGAGCGCAGTATGTCTGGTGGAAAAGTCGCTCCGGTGTGGGATGAGGAGACGCTGAAGGTGGTGAAGGATTTCCTCAGGTGTGCGTCCGTCTGTGTTTTCAGACGCGAGTAAGGACCTCAAGGTGGTCATGGGATTAGGCATAGCATGTCTGAGAATAGCCTCCTTAAGTTCGTCGTATGTGGCGAATCGTGGGTCATTCAAGAGGTCGCCAATGGTCAGGAGTTCAGGTGGGAGGTTAGTGACCAGCAGGCGAAATTTAGTGGTCAGGGCGGTGATATTCCTGAGGAGGAATTCCTGCTCAACTTGAAAGAACTATTCTGGCAGGCTGGTCAGGGAGCAGATCGGTAGTGACTTCTGACGTTGTGAAGAAACTTGGTTCGCTCCGAGGGTCACCAGTATAGTAGTTATAAAACCAAACTGGACTTTATCTCTTTATTTGTCAAGCAACCAAACTTATGAACCTGACCGACGATGTCAGCTCAACTGATTTGGGCGGTTCCATGGCGGAAGTCGGCCAATCGCGAGTCAGCTTCGG